CCTCATGCCCTGAGTGCTTCGTGCTGTGGGGTGGCTGCGTGTGCGGCGCTGGGTGTTGGTGGTGCACGGTCAGGATGCACGCAGGCGCTTTGTGCCCCGCTGTGAGTCGTGGAGCGTTCGGGGACAGATGCACTTCTGCTGTATGGGGCTCCCTGCCACTTCCGTGGAGGTGGCCCCAAACCTGGCTGCTGCCTCCTCCATCGGTGGGCTCTGGCTGCCCGGCCAGGGCTGAGGGCTCTGCTTTCCTGCTGCCCCCCACCCCATGTTGCTGTAGGGTCCTGGTATGAGCACCATCCTGTGTCCGTCTGCCCCTGAGCCACTGAGGTCCCCTGGCTCCAGGGCTGTGTTTTGGGGACACTATGGTGGCAGCGCCGTGCTCCCCAGAGCTGAGATCCTTGCATGCCCCTGTATGACACAGGCACTGTGCCACGCAGCCCATCCCGACCACCAGTGTGTACCATGTCCTCCCGCAGCCCCACTGCCCCACATCAGTGCATGCTGCATGCAAGGAGCAGCCCCCACCCCGGTCTGTAATGCCCTGTGTCTTTTCCCTCCTCCAGGTGCGAGCCGCTGCTCGGTGTCTGCCGTAAACCTCCCCAAACACGTCGACTCTATAATCAACAAGCGGCTCTCCAAATCCTCTGCCACCCTCTGGAATTCTCCCAGTAGAAGTAAGAGCCCTTTGCATGGCCCTGCAGTGCAGGGGGGCACAGCTCAGCCCCCGCCCCACGTAGGGACCCCCCAGCCCCTGCTGTGCCTTGCACAGTGCCCACTGAGAGGAGGAGCTGTGTGCTGTTTGCTTTGGAGGAGGCTGGAGCTTTGGAGGAGGCTGGTGCCAGCTCCTTGCCCGGCCACGGAGAGCGGCTGGGAGGTGGAGGGAGCCAGGATGGCACTGGGAGCCCTATGGCTTCTGGCCAGGGCTGCAAGATGCTTCTCGCACCACCTCTGCAGGGCTGGTGCTCACTGTGACACCTCGGAGTGCCTTGAGGCTGCTGTTGGGTGCAGCACTGGGTGCCCCTCAGGGGTTGTGGGTGCAGTGCTGGGTGCCATGAGGTCGCTCAGGTCCGGGCGAGCTGCCGGAGCCGTGGGGCTGCGTGCTGTTGTGCTGCTGAGTTGCCTGGCGATGGGCGTGCGCCGGATGGTATAAATAGATGGAGCAGCTGATGCGGGCGGCTCTGACGGCCTCATGCTGGGGCTCAGCCAGGGGGGGCACACGGGGCTGTGCTGAGCAGCCAGCGCCTGGGCCGGTGCTGGACACAGCGCCCAGTGTTGCTCCAGTCTCTGTTTTGTCCCCTCCCAGCAGCAGAGCGCGGTACTGCGTTATTTTGATGGCGAGGGGCACAGGGTTGCTGTCTTTGTGGTGCTGTCCACGTGGTCGTGGGGTGTTTGGTGCCAGCAGTGCAGTGCAGGCGGCAGTGACCCCGTGCCCAGCTGGGCTAGCAGCATGCCTGGGGGCCACCATCCCCTGGGTGCCACGAGTCCAGCCCAGCTCCTGTGACTGCGTGGTGGCCTCAGCCCCTCTCCCTTGGTGCAGGGGCACACAGTGGCTGCCCTGCAATGCGCCGGGGGCTCAGTGTCACTGGCACAAGGTGCATGGAACGCTGCTGTGGGCACTTGTCGTCGTCCTGCCTCAGTGCTGTCTATGTGTCACGTGTGGTGCCTTGGCTCTCAGTGTCAGAAGTGGGGATCTGGAAGCCCTGGGGCTTGAGCAGAGGGATGGTGCCAGTGCTGCAGGGCTCAGAAGAGTGCTAAGGGCTCTTCTCCTTCTGCAGACCGCAGCCTGCAGCTGAGCCCCTGGGAGAGCAGCATAGTGGACCGGCTGATGACACCCACGCTGTCCTTCCTGGCACGCAGCCGCAGCGCCGTGACACTGGCCGGGAATGGCAAGGAGCAGGGTGAGCATGGGGGGCACGGAAATGCGTGGGGCAGGGGGTTGGGAGCGCTCCATGGTGGGAGCCCACAGCCACCGGCCCCATCCCCACAGTGCCCGTGTGCCCCCGCTCGGCCTCTGCCAGCCCCCTCAGCCCCTGCCACAACCACCGCCTGCCGCACCGCTGCTGGGAGCGGCGGAGGGGCACTGCTGGCAGCCCCGATGTGACACCGCGTCGCCGTGCCGAGTCCTCACCGGTGAGTGCCACCTTCTGCTGGGACACGCCGTGCCCGACTCCCGGCCAAGCCCAGCGGTGTGGTACTGATGCTCTCTCTTTACGGTTGGCACAGAAGAAGAAGGAGAAGAAGGAGAAGGAGAGGGAGAATGCCAAGGAACGCAGTGCGCTGTCCCGCGAGCGCAGCCTCAAGAAGCGGCAGTCACTGCCTGGCGCACAGCCCCGGCTCCTGCCCACATCTGACAGCAGGTTGGGACCTGGCACTGCACGCTGCCCAGCCCCAGGGCTATGGGGACCCTGCTAATATCTCTTCTTGCTCTGCTTGCAGCCCCGGCCCCAAGAACCGTCCCTCATCCCCAGCCACCCCCAAAACCCGCCCAGCATCCCCCAGCCCAGCTCTGGCCTCACCCCACAAGCCGCCCCTGCCCCGCAGTGCCCACTCCTCCCCCAAGGTGCGGGCCAGGGCGCGGGATGAGCGGGGCGAGCAGGATGGCCAGGCCAAGGGACGCGAGAGGAAGGAAGAGGAGAAGGGCCCAGCCACCCCCGAGCCCCCCAGGGTTCCCACGGAGCCGTCAGCAGGTAGGTACCTGGTGGTTAGGGGTCAGGAGGAGTGGGAGCGGCACTGATGCTGCTCACATCCCACAGCCCCCTTGGCTCCCGCAGCCCACAGCCCCCCCAGCAGACCCTCGGCCGGCACTACGGACCGGGAGGAGGCCGCCCGACTGCTGGCAGAGAAGCGACGCCAGGCCCGCGAGCAGCGGGAGCGCGAGGAACGGGAGCGCCGGGAGCAGGAGGAGCAGGAGAGGTGAGTGCCCAACCATGGACCTCACCCAGGACCCGGTGCCCCCCCACCTCACTGAGGGCCCCCTCTGTTCCCACAGGCGGCTGCAGGAGGAGAGGGCACGGCAGGCGGCGGAGGAGCAGAGCCGCAGGGAAGCCCTGGCACGGCAGCGGGAGGAGGAGCGGCAGCTGCAGGAGGAGCGCGAGGCCCAGGAGAAGGCACGGGCAGAACGGGAGGAGACGGAGCGGCTGCAGAGACAGGTGTGAGGCAGGGGGGAGAAGGAGGGATGGGGGCAAGGATGGGATGTGGGATGAGGGGAAGCCTGTTCCCACCGTTCTCTCTTCACCTGTCCCTGCTGTCCTTGCAGAGAGAAGAGGCCGAGGCGAAGGCACGCGAAGAGGCTGAGCGGCAGCGCCTGGAGCGGGAGAAGCATTTCCAGCGTGAGGAGCAGGAGCGGCTGGAGAGAAAGAAGGTAAAGGCTGGGGGCACTGCTGAGTGCGTTTCATGCTGGGGGGTGCGCAGTGCATGGCGCAGGTCCTGCTGGGGAGGGCTGCATCAGCCCCTGTCTGCCCCGCAGCGCCTGGAGGAGATCATGAAGCGGACGCGCAAATCGGATGCAGCAGATGCCAAGGTGGGTGCCTGTCCTGCACGCCCTGCCCTGAGCTGCCTGGGGACAGCAGGCACCGTGGAGCCCTCACTGCTCTCCTTTCCCTGCAGAAGAAGGAAGACAAGAAGATAGTGAACGGGAAAGCAGTTGAGCAGGAGCACAGCACAGGTACACAGCTCCCTCCTGCTTCAGTACTGGAAGTCCCCAGAGCCCCTGCCCCCTTCCTGCTCCCTGAGCCTTGGGGCTGAGTGGGGCTCTGCTCGTGTCTCCAGGTGGCGAGAAGAGAGCAGGGCCGATGCCAAAGGCAGAGGAGCTGCCGGAGACGGAAACACCGAGTGCAGGGACGCTGGGGACACTGAAGGGCCCGGCAGGCGAGGGGCTGCAGCCCAGGTGAGCACAGGGGTGGAAAGGGGGCTGCAGGCTGGCAGGACCCCAACTCAACCCGACCCGTTGCCCCACAGTTCTCCAGCCAAGGATGTAGCAGCCCCAGTTGTGAATGGCGTGCAGCCCAGCAAGCACGAAAACGGCTTCTCAGGCACCGAGGGCTCTTCAGAGCTGCTGGAGCTTTCCCACCACGGTGGCAGCTCCAGCAGTATCATCCCGTTCGGCGACAAGGAGCCCTTCCTCAAGCAGGCAGTGGTCAAACCCCCCCAGGTCACAGGTGAGGGGCGGGGGAGCCGATTTGGAGCAGGGGGCGATGACACCTCAGCTCTGACGGTAGCTCCTGTGCCCACAGAGGTGCTGTGAGGCCCGGCCCTGGCTGATGTCCCCACGGAGCACCGCGCAGACCCATAGCTGTTGTCAGAAGGAAACACCTCGCTGCTCTCCTCCGCCCACCCGGCCATGCCACGAGGAGCCCAGGCAGTGCGAGGCTCCAACATGGCAGCCACCAGCCCTGCGCCCACACCGGGGCCTCCTGGTTTCTCAGTTGTTTTTATTTCGTTTTGTTCTTTTTTTTAAAAAAACAAAAACAAACAACCATGCACCTTATCAGCCTGCCGCCCCTGCCCACTGCCCGCCCGAGCCACCCCAGACGTGTGCTGTCATACTGTGGTTATTTAATTCGCTGGGTACAATGTATGTGAATACTGTAAATAGCGCTCGGCCGTCAGCGGGGGGGCTCGGGGCCGCCCGTCCCCTTTGTCCCCACGCATGTCTGCGTGCACCCGGGGCTGGGCCGGGCCCACGCTGCTCTCCGTGCCGTTGTGACAGTGTTATGCATCCGGACAACCTCTACGAACAATAAAAGTGGACAACCACGCAACGCCTCGCCTCCTTGCGGCCCGGGGGTGGGGCGGGCAGCGGGGAGGGGCGGCCCCACAGGGCAGGGCGCGAACCCACAGCGTCGGCACCGCCGCCATTTCCCGGCCTGCCTTCCCGCCGGAAGCTGCGCCCTCTTGGTGGCGTGAGGGGCGGGCAAGGGAGGAAGCGGAAGTGACGTCACGTCCCCGCGCAGGGCTCGCTGGGATATGCAGTTCGTCCCGCCCCGCTAGCGGTGGAGCGCCGTAGGGGTTCGGACTGCGCCTCCCGGCAGCCTCTGCGTGCGGGCGGCGGGCGGGCGCGAAGCGGAAGTGCGTGAGGAGGAGGTGGAGGCGCCTGGCCGCTGAGGAGGCCGCAGGCGGAGTTGGGTCCGGTGAGTGCCGCGGGCCCAACGTGGCGCCGCCCTTCCCTCGCTCCGCCGTCGGCCCCTTCCCCTCTTTCTCCTCCCGTCCCGCGGGCACGACGCGCACGGGCCGTTCTCGTTCTCCCCTCCTGAGCCTGGCCTTGTTCGCCGCCCCTCCCCTCCCTCCCCCCCCAATCCCGGGCCTCACCGCGGCGCCCCCCCCCTCTCCCCCCGTCCCAGCTCCGGGTCCCACGTGCTGCCCGCGGAGCCCCGGGCGGTGCTTAGGGCGCTCCCGGAGATCTCCGGAACCCTCGTGTCCGGGCCGGGCCCCGCGCCGCCTCCTGGCGGCACACGGCCGGTTGGGGCCGTTCCAGGCACAGGCCTTTCCACGGCGCCTCATCCGGGCTCCTCGACCCGGGGATTCCCGTTTTCCGCCCGAGCCTTGCCCTGTAGCCGGCCTCTGGGCGCTTTCTCCCATCATCGGGATCGCCCCGCGGGCGGATGGGCCCGGGGGGGAGGAAGGGAATGGGCAGCGCTCGGAGCCCTTCAGCGCTGACTGCACGGTGGGTTTCGTAGACGGAGGGGTTCTGTGGAGTTGGGTGATGCCGTGCCGTGGCTCTGGGCACAGAATCACGTGTGTGCCTCGAATCGCCTTTTTCTCTAATTTGAGAGTGATCCTAACTTTATTTGCTTGGGAGAGGTTAATTTTCCAGACTCCTTTAAAGATATTTTGAAATCTTCACAGGATAATTAGTGCTGTAATTGTCTCCTGTACAGCTTTCTAAATACGTGTGATGAGATAAGTTCAGGAGAAGGGCTGTTTGGCACCTTGAGAGGTGCAGGGTGAGCTGTTTGCCACACGGGGTGTGCCGGGTTAGGGATTGCACAGTGCTTCCTCCTTGCCCATCTGGCAGGAGTGCTCCTCTTTTAGGCTGGTTGTAAGAGAAGTGCTTGTCTTGGTGTGCCTTAATGCATCTCACCCAAACGTGCATTATTGAAGAGAGCAGCATGCCCAATTGCTTGGGAAGCATTGTAGATGTACATTAGCTGAATGTGGGGAAGGAGGAGGGCCTCTGTCAGCTGCTGCTTCAGCGTTGTGTGCATGAGGCTGCTGGGTCACTCAGCAAGCTTTCCAAAGAGCACGGCCAGCTCAATCACCCAATTACTCTCTGCAAGGAACTCCTGCAATATTCCTTCCCTCTAGTAGCGAGGGCAGATCGTTAATTAATGTAATTTATGGGAAGGCTGATGTGAAACTTTAGGTCTGTTTCCAATGTGTCTTTTGTTTTTTGCTCCTGGCAAGTGCTGTGGCTGAGGAGGACTTCTGTGTGGGTGTTGGTTGTGGAACCTGATTTCCGTTTGTTTGAGAAGCGTTGGCTTTTGGAAATTGCCAATTGCCTTCAAGGGAGTGCGTTGTAGAGGCTGGAGAAATGGTTACTGAGGCATAGCAGAGTGTTTGGAGGAACTCAGCAGTTCTGAATGCTCGCTCTGTCGCTTTGCAGGGGCTTAGCACAGTGAGGCAGCAGCTGGCTTTGTGAGCTGCGTTGCTTGTTAGGCCATCTAACTGCACATAAAGTCAGGTAGTTAGCAAAGAAAGCTGTCAAAAATTCAGGCTTTTGTTATCCAGAGTACTTGGCAGGCTCCAGGGCCTTGTGATCATATCTGATTTCCTGTTGGATTCTTATATTTTAGTTTCACATTCTCCTTAGTGTGAACTTCTTGTTTCAGCTAAATTAGGAGTAGGGAGAGGCATGTATAACAAATTAGTTTTCTGAGTTACCTCAGAAGGCCTTAAATTAGCACAGCCTGCTAAAAACGTAGCTCTCAAGGCAGTACTCTAGCAGGTAGGCCTCAGTGTCCTGAGATATTACTGAGTTTTATGCACTTGTACGTATGAGAACATGGGATTTGTGAGCGCTGCTGTCAGCACAGCAGGGAGCTGCGGAGTTCTGGGGGCTGAGCTGCATCACTGCTCAGTTCTGCACTTCCCACCTGGGTTTTCCTCGCAGGACATGGTGCTGTGTGGACTTGCAGGCCTTTCAGTTAGCCTCCTTTCTCACCCAGGCATAAGGAAGTGAGAAGCTCTTGATACTTACCTGGTAGTTTACGGTGAAAAGGCGACCTGGCTGCACCAAGGACACGCTGTAAGTTCCTCCTGGTATCTCTTGAGGGTGTTGCTGTAGGGGAGCATAGCAGTGGCTGCTGTGTGGCGTGCCTGTAGCTGACGGCAGCAGGTGTGTGCTGTGTTCAATCCATGCCCGTCTCTGCTTGTGGCTCCTTGTCTGGAGAAGTGTCTGTGTTTATGCTGGGTTTATGCTCTGCTCTTTTCATTCTTAGTTCTGTGTTGCTTTACACAGTCTGTTGTGGGGGAAAAACCGGACCATAGTTCATTCCTTCAGCAAGGGCTGTCTAGGCAGGTTTCTGTGGGCTCCGTAGTGCTGCTGTTCTGTGTGCAGAGACTCCAGGAGCAGCCCTGCACCTCTGGAGTGAACTTCTGAGCTTCTAATTCTACCCTGACTAAAGGATCTGCACTGCAAACTAAATAGGCATCCTACTCTCAGGGTCATGATAATGTGATTTAGCTGTCTGCTGTTTTCTGCAGCTTATTTAAGCCAGGAAGCTTTATAAACTCTGTTTAAGAAAACATTTTGTCATCCAGGTGAAGGCAGGTCTGTGTTCAGTGAGTTTGTTAGTGATTTTTGAGATCGGTTTCCTGCAGAGGAGCATGGTTGATGCTGTTAGGAAGCAAAAACATTCCGTGCACAAAGCACCAGGATATGAGTGCTCAGCCATGCAAGTCAGCAGATTTTGCTTTATTTTTTTTTCTTTCTCAGCCTTTTTGGTTCTGTGTTGGCAAAATGGCACTTAGCCGTGTCTGAACTTGTTACTGCTGGAGCATTACACAGACCTTGAACTTCTCGTATCTGGAGAAGTTTATGCGTGCTGAGGTGTGTTTAATAGCTTGGTGTGCCAGCAAAATATCAAGGCTTTGGGGTCATTTGGTTTCTTCTGAATTACCACGGCGCAGAGAATTGCTCTGTGTGACAGAGCTGCTGCTGTGCATTTATCCATACAGCTCAGTATAATTCAGCTATCAGTGGGTTCTTTTTCAGCAAGAAGACCCAGCTCTGCAAGGGGGAAGCGTGGCTGCAGGCTCCTTAGTGGTTTTCATGAAGGAGGGGAGCAGGTTAGGTTCAGCACAGGGCTCATCTTGTTCCTCCCCTGGTTGCTGCTGCACTTTGGGGCAGTGGCTGGAACAAGCAGGTGCCATTTTGTTGGTGGCTGGCAGGCTGGGTTTGAGCTCCACAGCTCGTTTGCATGAAGGGAAATATCATCCCCTCTTAGCAGGGGCTAAGTGACAGGGCAGTCATTGCCACTGGGTCAGGGAAAGTTAAGAGCTCCTGCTTAATTTAGCTTTATCGTGTCAGAGCTATGAATAGTCAAATCATGGGATTACATTTCATGCCAGCTGAGAATGGTGTTTGCAGTGTTTCGCTCCATGGTAACCGGAAGCTGTGGCATCCACACAAAGAATAAAAGCCCCGAGTGCCACCCAGCCTGGCTGTGGGATGCTGGGCGCCCTGCCGATGCTGTCCTGCCCCAGGAGCTGCCATCTGCCAGCCCCCTCTGTGCTGTCACTGTGCTGTTCTCCCCTGCTGTACCTGTGCAGGAATAACGGAGCCTCTCGTGGCTCCTTTGATGTGCAAGCAAATGGAGCTGCTCCGAATTTCACCCCCAGCTCCATCACCCAGCCGTCTTCAGCCTGCTCTGATTTGCGGTGTGAGGTGGCGGCAGGGAAAGGAAAGCTCCGGATGGGAGGATGCTGCAGCTCTGTAGCCAGCCAGCGTGTGTCCTCCTTGCTGTCTCATTTCATTGTCATCTTGACAGGGAGACTGAAAGCTTGGCCAGTAACCCCATAGGTTCTGTGCTGTGAGAGCACACAGCGCTGCTCAGGGAGCTGTAAGCTGAAATCCTGCTCTCAGGAGAATTAGACTCAGCGTTAAGGAGTCCAAGCTGCGCCGTAACAGAGCGTTGGATACATGGTGTCTGGAGGGAGTTGTGTACCTGATTATTTCAAGCCCCGTTTATCTGCATGAATTATTTCAGTTAATTGCTCCTGTAGGGCTGTGGATGAGATTGGTTTCCTGAGTTCAGGATCTGTGCACACGCTGAGCAAGCATTTGCGTTCAGCCCTTTCTACATTGGGTGACTGGATGATATCAGAATCCTTCACTGTGCTTGTGAAATGTAAGCATTTGTCACTATCTCAATGAGTTTAAATCTCTTATTCCCTTTTTTTTACTTAAGCGAGAACTCAGTCGCTTCTGAGAAAGATCTGAACTTTCTGCTGACTTTCTGTTCCCGGGTTGTTTGGGTCTGAAGGAAGATGCTGAGAAGGCTTTCCCTTCTTATTGTAGATGTTTTTCTTCCGTGCTCCCCAGGAAGTCCAGCTGCTGACTTCTGTTTCAGAGGCAAACATGCTGATATCTGATCGACCTTTTCTTTGAGCTCCTTGTCAGTGCCACATAAAAACACAAGGCTTTTAAAGCTCAAAGATGTATCAAACGGCTTGTAGCCAAGGAACTGGTGTCAGAAATAAAATCATCTACAGGTTTGCAGCTGGTCACGCAGTTTGGAAGGGATTTATCCAAAAGAACAATGTGCAGAATCACTCTTTATTGGAAGAACCTATAAATAATTTTCCAGCCGTTGTATAGAATCTGTTTTTAATTATCTGAAAGCTCAAACACACTTGAAGGAAAATCTTAGTTTTGAAAGCAGAGCGGAGAGAGACTGGAGCAGCTATTGACAAATGAATGCTTCTCTCACCATGGCAGAGTAATCATAACTTTTGTCCCCTGAAGCGTGTCTGGCACCTACTGGAGTAGAACGTGCTGTGCTGGATCTTTTGAGCAGGCTGTCCAGCAGAGTTCTTGCTGAGGAGGATGGAGGGTGGTTGTAGGGCACAGGTAACTTCTGTCGTCAGCCTCCTGTCAGCACTGGCTGAGTGCTTGCTCTTCTTCTTGAGCCCTTAATGAACTTTGAAGCACGTGCTGAGAAGCGCAGCTGTGCTTAGCTGACTTAGGAACATTGTTTTCATCTTTCAACCTGAGATGGAGGCATTTATGGTAGTCAAAGCTGCCATGGTCTTTTTTTTTTGTCTTTTTAATTTGCCTTTGAGAAAGCTAAGCTCCGGTTCCTTGCGATGAGGCTGGGACTGAGGCTTTTAGCTCAGATCTCATCACTAAGGCACAGTTTGCAGCAGTGAAACTGGTGCCATCGGTGCTGTGCTGGATGATCTGTAGTTTGTCTGTGCTGAAGGTCGTGGTTGGTTATTGCTGAGTTCTGCTCAGTGCCTCCTCTGATTTCCTGTCTTTCATTCTTGTGTCTTACCTAACATTTGTCAGTTCTTACCCCCACCTCCTGACATCCCCAGGTGCCACTTACCTCTGCTGGCACGCAGATGAATTAAGGAGCGTGGCAGTTTTTATGGAGCTGCAAATGGCACGATGCTGTAGGACTGCATTTCTAATTGCTCAGATTTTCTGTTTCCTGGGATTTTAAAGTTGCAGGCAGGGATCTTGGCTGGGACAAAGGCTGCTGCACTTGATGCTGGAATTGAGGAAGCTGGCTCCTTTTGTTTGCTGACAGCTGAAAATAAACGTGTAAATACTGAGTGCTTCAATATGTTCTCTTCTCATTTCAGGTTTGTTTCCTGGTTTCATATTTGACACAACTCAGACAGTAAAACTGACTGTTGAAGGGTGCAGAGTGTGAATCTGCTCGAGCAGGTGGGCATGCGACAGAAAACAGGATCTTCAAAGGTGGTAAAACTGTTTGGGGATTTGGATACTTCTACCATCTTTGCTCCTGGTCGTGCTGCAAGTTAAACTCAGTTGATTCTCTTTGTTGTCCGTGTTGCTGTGCAAAGCATTGATTTCAGTCAGTGGCTGCTTGAAAAGCAGCGTAAAACTGTTGTGAGGCCTGGGCACCCACAGGAAGTTTCTGACAGTAGTGGATTTGGCAGTGATTTTTTTTTTACTGCTTGGAGCAGAGTTGAGTTCTGTCAGAAGACATAAAGCCCATAAAACATTAACTTTGCTGACACTGTTTCATGACAAAGTTTTTCTGGGCGAAGTCCGTTGAAGTGGCTTAGTGAGAGCATTCTCTATTACTGCATTACTTGAGTATGATTGCAGTGAGAGGGCTTAGAAATGAAAAAGGCCAACTTTTGATTTTGTAATAGCCTCCAAGCAAGGAATTTTGTCAATGAGAAGATTCCAGGCTGCTGGTTCTCCATCTGAAAACTTTCTGATGATCAGCAGATGCAATTGTGTCCCTTTTAAGGTAGAGGGAGTCAGTGCTGTGGGAAGGCAGTTGTCTCACTGCAAGCAGGGAGGAAGTGTGACCCCTGTCAGAGCAGATTGCTAATGTGGAGTCAGCACAGCTTCTGCTGTAATTCCCACTCAGGAGCAGCCACACTTTACTTTCTAATGCTTTGCAAAACATTGTGTGAGGCTCTGTGTGTGCTCTGGGGGTGCAGCACCATCTTCAGTGGGGAAACAGAACCGCTGAGGTAAGTGGATGGGCGCCGCTGCTCTCACAGCTCATCTTTACTTCCTTTACAGCTGTGTCTGAAGTGAGAGCAATCAGTAGGAAGCACTGTAAGAGCAGAGTATCCCAGAGCAGTTTTTTTCAGCACAGGGACACGTTTTATCTCAGTAAGTAAATAATAGTTAGTAAATAATAGTTAGAAGGACTGCCTGTGTATGGCAGTAAGGTTACAACTCCCTGTTAACGTGGGAGATGAAATGTCTCCAACACTGGGTTTGCTTAACCTTGAGGTTGCTGTAGAGCACAGCAGTTTGATTCCTATTCTAGTAGGAATTAGCTCAGGTTAGGAATGTGTCAATAGAAAAACACTGGCAAGGATTAACAATAACTACAAAATCAAAGGAACTTCTGGGACTTGTACCACGCTAATGTTTAGCTGGTAAGTGCTTGAATCCAGGTGAACTACAAAGACGTAAATGGCTTCAAGCAGGTGATACTTTTAAGGTCCTTTTCTGGGCTTCTGAGGACTTAGACTTGGCTTCTTTTTTTTAAGTGGCATTGCAGCTGGATCAGTTCCTTGACTTGATTTGTCAGCACAGGAGTAAGCAGCTTCAGGAGGGGTTGAAGGGATCAGAGCTGATCTCACTACGTGTTTGGTGATGTTACTAAGGGCAGTGTATGTTGGGCTGTGGTTCACCTCTTTGGCTTCCTCATTGTCTTAACCTGATTGGTCTGCCAAGCTGCTGAAGATGGTATTCCTATCTGGCCACAAATGCCTGCTCCTCTGTTGGCTCTGGAATGTATATGGTCAGTTGAGCTGCTTGAAATGAGGTTTTTTTCTTTTTTGTGGTATTAATTTTCAAGTTAGAGCAGTGATCTGATCGAACTGAGTGCCTGTATAATCCAAGCCAAGGGAAACAGCAAGAGTTCTCAGCACAGCACCAGCGTGGTGCTCTGTTTCCTATGTGAGTGCTCAGTGCTGAGAGGGAAGCACCTGCTGAAGCCTCTCCAAAACCATTACTGGCTTTTCATGCAAAAATTGCCTGACGATATGACGATGTGCTCTTCCAGAAGTCTTGCTTTCCTTCATGTGAAGCACACGATGCAGATGGTGGGCTGAAGTCAGTGGCCTGTTCAATGCTAGATAGGCTTCCTATGTTCTGAATGAAACTTAAGTATTGATTAATGAGTGCAGTTTCTCTTCTCAGCTTAATCAACTGTCTGTGGCGCTGCGGAGTTCAGATCTTTATCCCAGCCCCTGTGTGGAACAGTCGAGAATCCCAACACCAGCTTCCCTGGCATCTGCTTCCTTTGCTAGCCTGCAGCTGAGCTCTCGGGTTTCTGTGAATGCAAATAGCAATGGGCAACTTAATCTGAGGAGGCAGGGAGTGGAGTTTGCTTCCTCTTCTCCAGGTCAGGGACCAAAGCATTTTCCATTTCCAAAGCATCTGAAGAACTGAACTGAAAGAGAAACCAGCAGGGAATCAAATCCTGGAGCATATTTTGCAACACGATCAAATGTTAAATTCTAAGGAATTTTGTTTATGGCTGGATACCAGAGATTAAATAGGTCAACCATTGCAAGCAGTGTAACTGCAGGACAGAAGAGACACCAGAGCTGTTCTGACCTGTCACCCCGGTGCATTTGGTTTGTCGCTGCTCCTGTGGGAAGGAGATCACAAAACGTGCTTGTTGGTTCTGTCTGTACTGCTGTGATGTGGTTGAAATTAAATGTCTCTTTAAAGGTTGTCATGCCTAAGCTAGCTGCACGGCCTCTGCCTGTTTCTGGTTTTCCCATTAACTTGTTGCTTTCAACTGTAGCGCTCAAATCCATAACCATTCTGGGTTAAAACCTTTTATTCTTTTTGCAGATTTCCTCCTTCAGCTGAAATAAATGTTCTGTTCTGAATTCAGCTGCCTGGGGCTGTTAGCAGGCAGCCTCTTGAAGCGCCCCTGTTTGCAGCCTCGCCGAGCTCCACGTGGCTGCGGAGGTCGGGCTGCAGGTGCCGCCTGTTCCCCCAGCTCTGAGGTGCGACTCCCCGTCCCAGTGACTTCCTTTCGCTGTTTCCTCCAGGTGTGACCGACGGCTGCTCTCAAGATGTCTAAAACCAACAAATCCAAATCTGGATCTCGTTCTTCTCGTTCGAGATCCGGGTCGAGGTCACGCTCGCGTTCCTTCTCCAAATCCCGTTCCCGTTCTCGCTCTGTTTCACGCTCGAGGAAACGCAGGCTCAGGTGAGTGTGTGCAGCCCTCTGGTCTGTGCGTGTGCCTGATTTTCCTCTCTCCTGCTCAGGTGCTTTGCTTCTTTCCCGTGGAAGCCTGGGGTTACCTGTTAGGACGGATGGTGTCCTGTGTCTTTGGGTGCTTCCTGCCAACCCGGACGTGTTGTGCTTTAACCTGCAGGCAGCTCAGCACTGCAGTGGTGGGGAGGGGGAGAACTGGGGAAGGTAAAACCGTGGGTTGAGATTAAAGACAGCTTAATGGGACAGAAGAGGAAGGGAAAACAATATTGATGATTAAAAATATGTATTTCATATATACATGTTTATTATATATATAGAACAAGTGGTGCAGAGTGAAATCGCTCACCACCTGCTGACCGTGCCCAGCCAGTTCCTGGTGAGTGGTCCTCAGCTGTTCTGTGGTCAGAGCAGGGAAGATTCATAGCAAAACCTGCTCCTTTGTGTTGTTAAACATATCGGGTTTATTTTTCTAAGCTTTGGATATAATTGATCCCAGACTTGAGAGGCTTTTGCACATGTTGCATGCTTTTTCTGTCTTAAAAATGCAGTCGAGTCTCCATGTCAGTTAATAGGCACAACTAGGAAAGATGGGGGCAAATTTTTTTTTGGTTTGTTTCCCTGCCTTTCACCTCAACATACAGCAGTCAGTTAACAAAAGCACAAATTCTGGATGTGTGAGGTAGAGAAAGCTCGTTTTGTTGCAGGTAGCTTTGAGAAATCAATAATATTCATATAGTATTATATTATAGTATACATGAATAGTATATATTCCATATATAGGAGCTATTGGGAATAGATGAACAGTTGGACTGGGTGATCTTTTAGGTCTTTTCCAACCTTGGTGATTCTATGATTCTGTGATTCATGTAGTTGTTTTTGCCCCCCTGAAGTGCTTCTGTCAGGCCAGCTAAAGGCCCTTTCTTCCTCGGCTGTCAGGACGGCTGCCTTTTCCTTTCCTTTCAGCTGAGTGTTTTATATCTGGCAAAGAGATTGTCGTTGGGCTGGGGATAATGGGGTTCAGCTGCTTTTTCAGTAACCTTAAAGGAGTACCATTTCTGAAGCCAGTAGTTTGTAAACACTTGCAACTGTTAACAATTAGAGATTCTGAAAATGCAGAGTGAACCAAACATGCAGTTGGAGAGAGAGGGCATGACAAAACTCGGCCAGAGGCGGAGATTTCCATCAGACCAAGTTCTCTGCAGAGGGAATGCTGGAAAACTCGCTGTCATTTGGGATGATCTGCCTAGCTGTGAGGGAGCTGTGGTGGCTGAAAACAAAGGCAGCTTTTGCCAGCATGGTTGTTTCCTTCGTACTGCTGCTGAATCTACTGCTTTGTAAAGAACATTAAATAAAGATCAGTATGGAGGGTGTTGGTGCAGACAAATCTTCTGGCGTGGTGCTGGGACGTTTGCTGAGGTGAGTCTGTGGTCTGTTGGCACAGGGATCCATTGGGTTGTGCAGCGTGGGTCACAGCAATTATTCTGCTCTTCCTTCTGGAGACCAGCTGTGTTTCTAAGTTCTGTTGCTGCGTCAGTCTGCCTGAAGTTTCTTGCTTTCTTTATGGCTTTAACTGTTGCATAGCAGTGGGTGTTCTAGAGCTGAAGCAGAATGTGTTAGCTGGCCAGGGCTAGTAGAATTGCTGCAGAAGATACACACGACCAGTGTGTGTTTGACAGAGCTGCGTGGGTCTCTTAACATAAGAAGGGAGTGTGGAAATAGCTTCAGTTCCATTTTGCAAAGTCCTTCTTCCTTAAGCCCAGTATTCTGGGCACTTTCTCTGATTTTAAAATCTCAGACTTCCAGCATAACTGTGTTTGTGTTTTTTTTTCCACCAGCTGGGGAATCCTTGCTGTAAAGATAGCATTGAAACCTGAGCTACTGTGGGGCTTCTGAGCAGTTACACAACTGCAATTCTGAATTTTTGAGTGGTAGAGACATCGACACAATTCCCCCCCTTAATGTTTTGTCTTTTAAATCAATCCCCTTGCAGGCTTTGGACTTGTCTTGGATTCAGTTCCATTCTTTCTGAATAGCCAGAGCTTTCAAGGGAGGAAGTGAGCAGAGGGAGTGCCGAGCATTGCCCCCTCGTGGCGTCAGGCTGTGGGGTTGCATCCCTCTGTTGGAGCATTGGAACTGTGGCAGCTGGTTCACCTTTTGGAACTCGATCTCTAGAGCAGTGCACTGTGTGCTCCAGTGCTGCCCTTCTCATCTTTGTGTGTTGTGCTTTGACTTTCCATGCAAAGGAGTGGTATCTCATCTCGGTCAGAATTTTAGGAGTGTACAAAATAAGCGAGGATGACAGGAGGTGGGAGATGAGACTTCAAATATTAGGTGGTGCCAATAATAATAAGATGTATTTTTTTTTTTCTCAGTTCTAGGTCCCGTTCAAGGTCGTATTCTCCATCTCATAACAGGGAAAGGAACCATCCAAGAGTCTATCAGAACCGGGATTTCAGAGGTCATAACAGAGGATACAGGAGACCGTATTATTTCCGAGGCCGGAATCGAGGCTTCTATCCGTGGGGCCAATATAACAGAGGAGGATATGGGAACTACAGGTCTAACTGGCAAAACTACCGCCAAGCTTACAGCCCTCGCAGGGGGAGGTCGCGCTCCCGCTCCCCCAAGAGAAGATCTCCTTCCCCGAGGTCCAGAAGTCACTCCAGGAATTCTGATAAGTCGTCATCCGACCGCTCCAGGAGGTCTTCCTCTTCTCGGTCCTCCTCCAACCACAGCCGAGTCGAGTCTTCCAAGCGTAAATCTGGGAAGGACAAAAAGTCATCTTCCAAGGAAGCCCGAGCGTCTCAGGCCGCGGGAGAAAACCAAGGTGACGATTCGAAGGAGCAGCCGTTTTCGGGAGCAGCTGCTCAAGATGCCAAGGCGTCTGAGGGATCAAAGCCGTGGCAAGACGTGTCGGCCTACGGCAGCAGCTCGGCGTCGAGAGCTGCTGCGCCTGAGCTCAGCCCGAGGGAACGCAGCCCTGCGTTAAAAAGCCCCCTGCAGTCGGTGGTGGTGAGGCGGCGTTCTCCTCGGCCAAGTCCGTTGCAGAAGTCGAGCTCCCCGCTGTCCAACCCCTCGCAGATGAGCTCTGCCTCACAGAGCAGCGCCTCCTTTCAGGCAGGGTCTCATCAGAGCCCGTTTGACCACGGCTCGTCGGGTCTGAGCCCAACAAGAAAGAGCCCTGTGTGCAAAAGTCCCACGCCCATCAGTTCCATGTATGGTGCATCTCAGAAGGAGGAAACCACGGCTCCTGGTGGGGGAGCCTTCTCCAAGAGGCAAGTGGCGTGTTCCTTTGCGTGGCAGCGCTCTGATGGTGCTGTGCGTGGGCAGGCACTCCCTGTGCACACTGCTCGTGTCTGCAGCTGGGCTGAGGTCCGGGGAGTGCAGGGGATGGGAGCATTCCTAAGTGCTTTCAAGTCGATTCTTTAAGCTGTTTTGCATCGATTCCCTCTCAGGGATGTCTGAACTTTAAAAAAGGAAAGGAGAAAGCTCTGGTTTGGGCTTTGCAGAGCTCTGGGCTGACGTCCTTAGGCTTTACTGCTCTTTCCTCAAAGCTCAGGTTTTGCTTAGTGACTGCTTTAAAACATGATGCTTTAAATTATCTTGTGATGAATTGTTCTCACTGAGTGTTTTGTCTTCTCCCAGCAAAGTAAATATTCTCCTCTGTTAACCTTTTTGCTTTTATTTGTATTTGCAGTCTGTCATGAAATATTTAGCTTACCTATGAAACTTGCATCCCAAATTTGAAGTAGCTTTTGAGCCTTTTATTTCCAGTATGTTGTTTAAAGCAGAACAGCCCAGTTTGAAAGTTTTGATGTGTTGTTCTCCCGAAGCAGGTTTGTAAGTAAACAAACCAATTGGGTAAGATGTTACTATTTTCCTTAAAATACATCGGTGGGTGAGCTGTCTTATTTGTTGTAAGCCTCATTTCATCAGCTCTGCATATCCATTTTGTTGTACATCTGTTGAATTTATCAACATCTGAAAGCCTAAGTCCAGGCTGAGAAATCTGCTGTACATCCTAACTGCTGAGGGCCCTCTGTGCAAGCATAGCTTGGTGTTCTGTGAAATGTGGCTGCTTTTCACTGGAATGTTAGCCTCTCTCAATAAGGAAATTAACAGCAATGTCTATTTTCTGCACAGGTATCTGGAAGAGCAGAAGACAGAGAATGGGAAAGACAAAGATCAGAAAGTGACAAATGTGGAGAAGGAAAAAAACAAAGAGAAAGGGAATTTCTCTGAGGGATCAACAGACGGAAAGGCCAAATCTGATTCCTATGCATCCAAAGCAGATTCTGAGAAGGGATATCGTGGCAGTCAGTCGCCCAAGCGCTACAAGTTCCGAGATGACTTTGACAAGCCAAAGGCACCGGAGTTCCACAAGGAAAGTCATTATGGCAAGGAGGAAACGGATGATCAGGAAAAGAAAGAAAAGGCAAAGAGCCGTAAGGATTCAGATTTTGATGATGAGCCCAAATTTATGTCTAAAGTGGTGGCGGCGTCGAGTAAAAGTCAAGAGGAGGATAGGCAAGGCAAATGGGAAGGAGTGGTGTTCTTGCCACCTGGGAAAGAGAAGCAGAGGAAGTCTGAGGAAATGGAGGAGGAGAGCTATTCGGAGAGATCTAAAAAGGAAGAGAGGCCGGCGTCCAAGAGAGCTGAGCCGGGTCACCGGGGCTTTGTCCCTGAAAAGAATTTTAGGGTGACCACTTACAAAACGAGCCAGGAAAAAAGCTCTTCTCCCCCACCGAGGAAAGCCTCCGAGGTAAAGGAGAAGCCAGGTTCCAAAGGAGACGGGCTGGCTCCTGGCAAGTCCTCCTTTTCCATCACTCGTGAGGCACAGGTCAATATTCGGATGGATTCCTTCGATGAAGATCTTGCGCGGTAAGTCGTGCTGTGGTTTGGGGCTGCTGAAGTGGTGATTTGGGCTGCCTGTTTCTGGTCTGGAGCCCCTTTGCCTGTGTGTGAGCTGTGAGGCAGGATAAATATCACAGTGTATGGTTTTTGTGGACGGAAGCTTGGATTTGTTCTGGCACTGAAGGACTTGTGTGGCCCCTCTGCATGGCGGGAGGTTGGAGGGGTTGCTGCTTTACAGGTGCTGAAGGTACAGTACAAAGGTCAAATAACTTTCCCTGATTTTTTTTCTACAACTAGATGTAAGGCCATTTCAGAATGTCAATGCTTCTGCATCATTTTCTGTGTTACAGCGGCCTCTGGAAAGAGTTGGCTGCTTAGTGGCTTCTTGCTAATAGCAAATTAGAGGTACAGTGAAATGACAGTGCAGCTTAAATGGCATTTCCTCTGGAGAGCACTTACACTTATTCTCAACGTAGTATTACCGAAACTCTAGGAAGCATTGACAGCCATCTGCCTTGTTTCAAGAAATCTTAAGACAGTACAGTGTACTTCAGAGAGCGCGCTGGGACAGAAGCAGCCAGTAAGTGTTGATGTGCTCGTGTGGGATGTTAGAAGTTAACCTGGGATTTGAGAACGGCAGCGGAGGATTGCAGCCAGCTGTGGTGTCAGAAGGAGTTGTATCTCACTGCGTTTGTGGCCGTGCTGCCTCCAGCTACAGAGCAGCAGGTGATCTGAATTATTACGGTAACCTGGATCACTGCATTTCAGGGATTGAAATAAGCAATCTGCTCAAGCTATTGAATGCTTTTTGAGGTGATTTCGTAGCGTGACGTTACAAAGTCAGCTTCTGGCTTCTGAACTGTTGGTCATCTTGAACCTGATTCCTGTGTTCTGTTTTGTGTGGCCTGTTTGTTTCTCCAGTCCAAGCGGCATACTGGCTCAGGAGCGCAAGCTGTGTCGTGACCTTGTGCACAGCAACAAAAAAGAGCAGGAGTTTCGTTCCATATTTCATCATATTCAGTCTGCTCAGTCTCAGCGAAGCCCTTCTGAACTGTTTGCTCAACACATAGTGACTATAGTCCATCATGTCAGAGGTGGGTCAGAGTCTGTCCTCAAACTCGCTCCCCTGCGTTCCCCATGCGAGTGCTTTTCACGGGCTCTGCTGAATGCTTGACAGTTGTTCTCTGCTGGACGTGTTGTAGACAACAAAAGCAGCTAATGATGGTGTGATAGAATGGTTCAGGGTGGAGGTGATTCTAAGAGACCTAGCTCAGCTCGAAGCAGTGCTAGCATGTGCTTTGCATCACGTTGCTGGGGTGGAATCCAGAATCCAGTTGAACTTTGAAAATCTGTGCTGTAGAGCTCAAATGTTCCAGCTCAGCCGCGTTCATTTCGGGGTGGGGGGTGGTGGGAGTGCTTTCCTTGTATGTGGTCAGAACTTCTCTTGTAGCCTGTGGTAATCCTCTCTTGTCCTTTTATCATGTAGCTCTGAGAAGAGTCTGGCTGTACCTTCTGTAAAACTTCCCTTGAGGTGGTGGAAGACAACCATTGTTAGATTTGACCAAGCTGTAGGACTGACGAGCTCTTTCTTTTTACAAAAGTGGTATTAATGTTGTGGCATTGTTTACTCAAACCCTCCAACAGAGCATCACTTTGGATCGTCAGGAATGACGCTGAACGAACGCTTTACCAAATACCTAAAGAAAGGAATGGAACAAGAAGCAGCTAAAAATAAAAAGAGCCCTGAAATTCACAGGTTGGTGGTGTGGCGGGGGGGGGGTTTCAGGTCTTAAGCTCTGCACTCGCTGTGGAATCACTGGAGAATAGGGGAAAATGGGTGGATCTGTGCCAGGCTGAGGGGGCAGCGTGGTGTGGCTTGGTGTTGTGTCTGATCTCCCACCCAGCCCCTGATGAGACTAAGGAAGTTAGTTCTTAAATCTGGGAACAGAAGAGATGCCCTGGAGGGGAGGCAGAGCCTTGGTCTGTGGTTTGAGTTCCTGACATCTTTTAGATGTTATTGGATGAGCAGCTTGAAAAAAGTGAAATGTCTTTTTGTCCACAGCTGGAAGATACTTGAACAGATACTTAGTGAACAATAACTTCACGTCAGGAGAACTCTTGGATCAGAGAACTTAAGATGCTCTGTTGTAGCTTCATCAGAAGTGGGAAAAAATGAGTTTTCAGTCCCTTTGGGAATATCTGACAGTCTCCTTTGAAGTGAATCTTGAGTCTCATGTCTGCTGTCGTCCTGTAACCGAGCTGATACCTCTGTGCTTCCTTTGCTTTCAGGAGGATAGATATTTCTCCCAGTACTTTTAGAAAACATGGATTCTCTCAAGAGGAATCGAAAAGTTCCAGAGATCCCAGCTTCAAGGTGAACTGTCACTCTGATTAGTTTAATTCAACAAAATGAGTGCATTGGGCATGAACTTAACAGTGATGTTTTTGTTTAAATTACTCTCTACTTAAGTTTGTGTTTTTCTTTTAAGGATGGGCATAATTCTAAAAATGAACTACAAAGGGTTAATTTTTATTAAAAATGTATCAACAACCTTTGTGAAGTGGTTAGACTATGGTAAATGACCCCAAAGTCAATTGAGGTGAGCTTGAGAAAAATGAGAGGATTTTTGGAACAAGTGCCCATGATGAGAGAAGAGACTTTTTGTGATATTTGTCTGCTTGTAAGTATTATCAAATCAATTGTCTACATGCCATATTGCCAACCATGTTTTCAAAAAGACGTGCATGACAAAGAGAGGAGAGTAAAGCTAAATACTGAGCTGTTAAGAGGGTGATAAATGGTGTTCTAACAACCTTTCTGTTGATTGCTGTTGGTTAACATAGAGCAGACCTTGGGGAATGCAGTGCTAGCAGCTCTGAGCAGCTCGTTAAGCCCCGGTGCTGCCTGTAAACCATCTTAGAAGTGGCTTAACACGATGTTCTGGGTTTTAACCTTTGCGTGTTCACCTTCGTGCGTGTTGACATTGAAGAGATTCTGAACAGTCCTGCTGAAACCTTACTTGTTTCATATTTGTTTTCGATTTTTTCCAAACACTTGTGGCTTGACATGGACGATGGTGAGATGGATTTGATGGGCCTGAACTCTGAGCATCAGCTTGGCAGAGTGTGTTATAAACGTGGTTTCCAAACAGCTCGCCAGCCCTCCGTGAAACAGACGTGCCCTCCCAAACCCAATAGGTGTTTGCTGTACCACATAAGGGAGCTGCTGCTGATTTTGTCACTTATCTGCCATCCACCGTGTTGGGAGCAGTTGTGTTCTCAGAGTAGAAATTAAAGCTCTTTGCCTGGGGAAAGCAGAAGAGCAAAAACAAAACAAAAAAAGCCAAAACACCCAACCAAAACCTGCCTGCTCCCACTGCTGCGTTATTTGACATTTTTATTTAAACAAAAAAAAGTGGGTAGAACCTCATGTAAGTAAAAAGTTTAACAGCTAGAGAATTACTAATCCTTTTGTATTGAATTGGAGGCATTAATCTGCTTCGTGCTGCGAATCGAGTCGTGCAGTTCCTGATCAGTGCAGCAGCAGCTGCTGTGGGGCTGTGTTGCTGCTGGCAGTGTGCTGTGCAGCTGGCCACCAAAGCACTGCACCATCACAGTGCTGGCAGTGCTGCTGGTGCTGTGCACCCAGAGCAGAGCCTGGCCCAAGGGCTGCAGCTCCCAGCGCCCCAGGGGATGCAGCTGCACCTCTCCCACAGGCACTGTTGTGGCCAGCTCTGCATTTAGCAGCCATTCCTCCAGCAAGCATCACCAGCTCGTGTAGCTGACTGTTAAGAGATACAGAGGCCACGAGCTGGGTGCTGCTTAGAGCAGGGTGGATTTTTGGCACCTTCCATGCCCCACGCCAGTGAGATTCTTCCACATAAACAACCTGATCACTGCGTTTTCCAGTGGCCTCCACCTCTCAGCACTCAATGATTGCTGCCCCAGGTGTCTCCAGCTGGCAAACAGCTGCTTCTCCTTAAGTTTGTAGAGCCCTGCTGCCATGCTGGATGCTGCTGCCCTGTAAGAAGTGTCCCCAGGCCTTCCAGCACTGCTGGCTGGAAGTCAGCCACACACAGTCCTGCCACACACACACACAGATTGGGTTTCTGAGATGCTCTCATCTCACTGGCTGCGGTGCCCCATAAGTGTCAGCGTTCCCCTGTGAGCAGGCTGTTCTAATGCTGTTTTAAACAGGGCAAAAGTTGAACATGTAGAAAGATGGGAAGCCAACAGATAAACACCGAGTTTGACAGTGCATCGTTTCGCACCTTAAGGTGGAGCATCGATTGCACTCAGATCAACCCCTGCCCTCCACGAGTTTGTGCAGTCAGGAGTAAAGTAGTGGTGCTGAGTTAGGGGTGCTGTAGGTCGGTGTGCTGAACTCTCCCCATCCCTGCCCTTGTAGGCTGAAGGGAAATATAAGGACGACCCTGTGGACCTGCGCCTTGATATCGAGCGCCGTAAAAAACATAAGGAAAGAGATCTTAAACGTGATAAATCCAGAGAGTCGGTGGAGTCCAGGGATTCGAGTCACTCGAGGGAAAGATCGGCTGAGAAAACGGAGAAAAGTCACAAAGGCTCAAAGAAAAAGTATGTAGGAAAGCCCACAGCCATTTCCTTCTGCATTTCGTGTTTCTGCTGTAAGAGCTGGAGACAGCCTCCATTTGTGGTTGTGCACCTGTGACATAACTGCGGTGCTGTGAGTGAGTTCCCTGCGTGTCTTCTTGATGCCATTGTGTCTATCTGGAACGTAAAGTAACTGGTAAAGGTAAATGGGAAGTGGGAAGGCGCCGTGTGTCGCAGTGGGTAAGTCCCTTTGTCTTCTTGCTCCAGTTGTAGGCAGTGGCAGCGCTGAAGTAACTTTGCCTCAAGTTTCATTTGGTCCTTTTCTATTTGCTTGATTTTTTTCCACGGGACTGGAAATCTCTGGGAATGAATGCCTTTCTCTTGGGAGGGAGACTGAGAGGAGAGAGAGGCTGTTGGTCTCAGATGCCTGCTGATCTCCTAGCGGGCAGCAGCAGTGCTTTAAAAGCAGCAGAATCTTGACAGAGAAGCCCTGGGACCTCAGCTCAATCTGCACGTCACAGCTGATGTTGAACTGTGACTTTCCATAGCAGGAAAAGGAAAGCATCGTGTCGATGGGGGCAGTGATAAAATAGTTTGTTAGCCATCAGGTTACTGCAGAGCATTAATCCAGATGCTGTTCCCCACCCTTATTTCCTATCACTGAAACAGGAAACACCGACGGGTGCGTGAGAGGTCCAGGTCCAGCTCCTCGTCCTCACGCTCCTCGCATTCAGTGAAGGCAGAGGAGTATCCTGAGGAGCCTGAGGAGAGGGAGGAAAGCACCACAGGCTTTGACAAGTCCCGACTTGGAACTAAGGAATTCACAGGTCCAAATGAGAGAGGAAGAGCCCGAGGGACCTTTGTAAGTGCTTCCCCAGCCCGGCTGTCGGTTGCAGGGCAGTCAGAGGCAGGCACTGCGCCTCGTGCTGCGCTTAAAGCGTTCTGTAGTGGAGAAGCCTGCAAGTCCTTGGTTGTGGATGAGGCAGAATGTGATCCCTGCAGACCTGCAGCACAAACCAGGCTGTTGGGAACGCAGCCGGGCAGCTGAGCTCGAGGTGCAGAGTGCAGCCTGGAAGCTGCTGTACGTCAGTGGGGCAGGCTGGGGGGGGAGGCTCAGCTTTGTGCCTTGGGTACACAGGAGTCTGTGCGTGTTGGATGCTTTCTTTTGGGTGCTCAGGAAACACCTCTCTCCAAATGAACTGTTCTGGGTGATGTCATCCGTGGGGATTGAAAACCATGAGATGCTGTGAGCTGTTATTGAAGGGTTGCAGGCGCTCCTGGCTTGCTGGGAAGCGGTGCTGCATCGCAGCTGTTTGACTTTCCTTCCATGTTTTGCTGTTACAGCAGTTCAGAGCGAGGGGCAGAGGATGGGGCAGAGGCAACTTTTCAGGCAACAACAACAGCAACAGTGGTGGCAACAACGACTTCCAGAAGAGAAGCAGAGAAGAGGATTGGGATCCCGAGTACACGCCGAAGAGCAAGAAGTACTACCTGGTACGTGTGCCGAGTGTGGGACAGCTGAGCAGCACGGCTGGGGCTGCCCCAGTGCTCGTGACCACCAGGAAGCTGCTGGCTCCCCGCTGAGGAGGAGCTCTGCTCATGGCAGCTCGCTTTGCCTTTAATTGGCCCCTAGATTCGATTGAAAGATGCCATTTCTCAGTGGCAGAGCCTTTGTGCAGCGTCACAGGAGCCGGCCTGTGCTGCTTTTGGCCCTTCTGCCCTCGCTGGACTCCGGCTTCCTGCCTGGTGGCTCTGTGCTGCTCCTGCTGGTAGCAGGGTGTCACCCCACGGGTGGCCCTTTGACAAAGGGCAAGTTTTAAGCAGCACAGCTCCTTTGTTTCTCTTCCCGATCTGGGCTGCGTGAGATCCTCACCCTTCCATCCTGCGCCTCACACGACCAAGCCTAGATTCCATTTCGCTGCCTGCCTTCTCTCTGGGCAGCCCGGGGTCGCCTTCCTCCCGCTGCCCCCCTGCTCTGTGTCACTGCTGTCCCTGCCTTCCTCCCGCAGCACGACGACCGCGAGGGCGAAGGCGCCGACAAGTGGGTGAGCAGAGGCCGCGGCCGCGGCGCCTTCCCACGAGGCCGAGGGCGTTTCATGTTCAGGAAGTCGAGCACCAGCCCCAAATGGGCTCACGATAAATTCAGCGGCGAAGAAGGAGAAATCGAAGACGACGAGAGCGGGGCGGAGAACAGAGAGGACAAGGACAGCCTGCCGTCGGCGGCCGAGTAGCGGCGGCGCTGGAGACGCCCTGCAGCCCCTGAGGGCTCTGCCACGACCTGACACGGCCCCGACTTCCCTGCCTTCTCACAGCTCCGCCCCTCCGTGCGGCCGAGCCGCATCCCTTGTGCTCGGGGCACGGAGAGCCTCTTCCCAAAGACGTCTGGCACCGACTGAGTGCTGCTGAGGCCCTGGCCGTTCCGCCCGTGCCCTCGGGGCACGGCTGTGTTTGTTTGGGGGTTGATTTGATAACGGGCTCCGAAGGCGCCGCGGGGTTGGGTTTGTGCCCACCTGTAGTCCAGTAGTCGATGGTTTTGTTTCTCTTTTCTAATTTGAAGTAGTACGGCTCGGGGTTTTCTCGCCCGTTCCCATTCTTCCCCCCTGTTGTGTATTCCGTTTTGTTTTTTTAATTTCATACTCTCCTTTTAGGCCTTTGTGTAGTAACATCAATTAAATGATAATTTTGGAAACTCTTTTTGGTTCTTGAAGTAAGAAGCGATGCAGCATGTGAATAAAGATCTAAATGTTAACGTGTTGGGACCAAACTGCTATGATTTTGGTTTTTTTAAATGGGTTTTTTTTTAATGTGAGACAGTTGACTTCGGGGGCCTTACAAAAATGCCTTTTCTTTGCTTTGTTCTGTTTTGTTTTGTTTGAAAGGCAACAAAATGAGCGTGATTTTAAAGGGAAAAGAAAAGTCCCCTCCTTTCTGCCTGCTGTTGGTGTGCATTTGGCCTGGTGCATTGCAGCCCCCCCTTCTCTGTCCCCCCTGCTGCCCTGACCCCCTGCTAACGCTTTCCTAAGGCCCCTCAGCGCTGCCCCAGGTTACAAACAGCGCAGTGCAGACGAGGATTTTTCCATGTTTTTAATTGATCTGTTGATAAAAATGAAGGCAAATCTCTGCAGCTCTGCCCGGCCGTGGCCACGCGTGGCTTTTTGGCTTCTGCTTCCAAGGAGAATCCAGGGCAGCAGCGCTGGGCTCAGGGCTCTGCTCTGCTCGGTTTCTTTCCACTCGAGCAGCTCCTCTTTAGCAACCCCCTGATGTTGGTCGTGCAAATAAAACGCAATAAAACGAGGCGGTGGAGCGGCTTGCTTCTGTGTTGCAGCGCTGCCCGGCCCTCCTCCCCCCCCTGCTGCATTCTGGCATTGAACCTCCGTGCCCCTCAGCCGTGGAGGACAGCATTGGTTGCCGCCGCTGCTGCTCTCGCTGCACAGGAAGGCGCAGCTCCGCTGTGCCCGGTGTGGGGCGATGGTTTGCGGTCTGTTTTCCTTCTCGCTGGAATTTGAGCCCTTAAACCGACGCGGGACAAAAGGAGCTCAGTGCTCGCTGCTCCTGCAGCTCCTGCTCCCGCCGCTGGTGGTTGGGCGCAGGGCTTTGGGCTGCAGCTCGTGCTCCTCTTCCATGGGTTCAGTGTCACCAACTGGGGGCCTTCGGCTGCAGGAGAATTCACTGCTGAGTGCAGAAGCCCCCCCAGCCCCCCTGCTGCTCTGCGGCCTCTGTGCTCCGCGCAGCCCCCCGTGCTCGAGGTTGGGGCTCTGCTGTGTTTCCGTAGCTCAGTGGCCCCCACTGAAGCTGAGAGTCACGGCTGGGGGGCGCGGGGCCCCGGCGGCCCCATCACCGCATGGGAGCAGAGCAGCGCCTCTTCCTCCTCCTCCTCCTCTGGAACGGGCTGCCCAGGGAGGTGGTGGAGTCTCCTGCTCTGCAGATGTTCAAGACCTGCCTGGATGCCTTCCTGTGCGACCTGCTGTAGGGAACTGCTTTGGCAGGGGGTTGGACTCCATGAGCTCTGCAGCTCCCTTCCAACCCCTACAATTCTGTGATTCCTCCTCCTCCTCCTCACCACCCCCGCTCCGTTTCCCATCCCCAGCCCTCGGCACGGTTTGGCTTCGCGCCACCGGCGTGGGATTGGGAGAACATCTGGAAAACATCTGGATCCGGCGGGGCCAGGCTGGGAAGGAGCTATTTTTGTAGATGTGGAAGGAGGGGCGGCGGGGCTGAGAGCGGCACGGGCTGGGGGGAACGAGAGCGGCTCTGAGCCCACCGGGAAACATCCGGAGCCGCGCCGGGCCGGAAAGGCCAAAGACAGCGGGCATGGAAACGGGAACGGGAACCGGGCAGGGGAGCACCGCGCCGGGGGCAGCGCCCACAGCCCTGTCCTCACCCGTGGGGCTGCTGGGCCCCCGCCCGGCTTCGTACCAATGGCTCCAAGTGCATCGCGTCCCACAGCTGCGGGCTGAGGGCGCTCCGAGGTGCCGCCCCGTCCGGCCGGCTTCCCGCTGCCCGCGGCCCCCGCTCAGTAGTAATGCCCGCGGCCCAAAGTGCCGGCGCCCAGCAGGTCGGGCTGCCCGTTGCGCCAGATCTCGCGGATGATCCGCTCCCGCTCCTCCAGGCGCTGCGCCCGCTCCAACTCCTCGGCCGACGCGAAGACGTTGATGGGCGCAGCGCCGTCCCCGGGGCTGTGGCGCTCCAACGGGATCTCGGTCATCGGCAGCAGCGACTCGGAGGCGGCGCGGTCCACGGTGTCCTCCTCTTCATCCTCATCGTCGTCGTCGTCCTCGCTGAGGTCGGCGGGGCCGGGCCGCGCCGTGCGCTGCGTGCGGGGCCGGCAGGAGATGCGCAGCAGCAGCAGGCACAGCGTCAGCACCAGCCCGAAGCAGACGCCCAGCACGAAGTACAGCCCGAAGCTCTCGGGGTTGGCTGTGGGATTGGAACACCGGGGCTGAGAGGGTGCACGGGAGCTGGGGCGGCCCCGGGGTCCCCGCTGGGGATGCGCCCCTTGTCCTCACCTCGGATGTGTGCGTACGCAGCCATGCTGTTGCTCAGCAGCTCCATGTCCTGCTTGCGGCTCTCCATGGCTGCGCTCAGGGCCCCTGGGGACAGCGCATGTGGGGCATCTGGGGGACATGGGGTGAGTGGGGCCCGGTGCCGACCCGGCTGGGCGCTGAGCACACGGTCCCACTCCCACCCCCCTCTGCCCTTCCTGCAGGGCTGGGCAGGATGTGGTTCCTCCAGGACCCGGTGCCAAGCGGATCTGCGGTACCGGGATGGGCCTTCCGCCGTGGGACACAACCCTGAGGGCAGGACGTGGGGCTGAGCACTGAGCAGTGCTGGGTCCTCCTCACCCTGTGCTCCTCGCCCCAGGACTCCCCTGGCTCATCCCAGCGCTCCTCCCAGCTTACCGTGAGCTTCGTCTATTTGCCTTGGGGCACGGGGACAAGGACGGGAAGAGGGGCAAAGGCCATCGGTGGGATGAGCAGAGGGAGGGACTGGGGCGGGCACTGACCCCGTGCTGCCGTGGGACAAAGTGCTGAACTTCCCCTGGGAAAGGCCTGGGAGGGAGCACCGGGTGTCACAGAGCCACCTTCCCCTGCCCAGCACAGCCCCACGGTCCCCCCAGGATCCAACCCCCCTGCTGCTGGTGTGGGGCTGGGTCCATGCTCTGGGGCCGTGCTATGGGGTGGAGGCGATGCAGTGCTCAGGCCCTGGCAGAAGGAAGCTCTCAATTCCCAGAAACGTCTCCACGGACGGAGGAATGAGGAAAGAAATGCAGAAAATGTGACACATCAGCAGAACCATCCATGGACAGTCCAGTGCTGCATACAGTGGGGCCGGGCAGGATGAGGTGGTGGGGATACCCCATAACAGGGCTGCTGGGCGCCCAGGAAGGTCCCAGTGCCCTCTGAGCAGAGCAGCCGCCACTGCTGAGCCCCGTGGGGTGGAGAGGCACAGCCCTGCCCTGGGGTTCTGGAGCACAAAACTGCTGTAAGACCACCACAACGCCAGCCCTGAGGCCACTGCCCACCCAGGGGTCAGGGCCTGTGGCTGCAGTGGCCAAGAGGAAGGGGACAGATGCCCTGAGCCCCCCCAGCAGAGCCACTGGGACAGCCCCACAGCACCCAGCACTGAGCGCTGTGGTCTCCAAACCGTGTGTCCCCAAGCCCGCGCTGAGCACCACCCCTGCTGGACCCAAATGCTACGAATTCAGCCTCCCCACATCCCTACGATCTGCATCCCCCAGCACCGAGTTGTAGCCCCAAGCACTGAACTCCACATCCCCAGGCACGGAGCCCCGCAGCCCCTCAGCGCCGCGTCCCCAAGCACCGAGCGCAGCGTCCTCACTGCCCCCATCCCCAACATCACCTTCCCTGGGTAGGGGACACCACGGAGCCGTTACCATTGGGGTGGGCAGACACGAGGAGCCCCGCCAGCCCACAACCCCCCCCAGCCCGCGCTGCACTCACCGGGACGGCAGTGGAGCCTCCGCACTTTGGCTGTAGAGAGACGAGACAGAAAGGTCTGTTTAGCATTAACGCTGCAGCAACAGGAAATAGTTTGGAGGAGGCTGGCGGTCAGCACTCCCTGCTGGAGCCAATGGCAGCTCCGTCCCGCTCCCATGGGATGCACAGCACAGAGCCTGGCAGCCTTGTCCTGCTCTCAGCCATAGGCCCAGTCCCATCTGCTGCTCAGGGTGCTTTTGGAGGCACCGCTGCACAGCACGGCCGGGACCCCACGCAGCGCTGGAGCTCCCCTGCACACAGCTTTGGGGTTGAGGGGCACCTCCTGTGCTGCTCTATGAGGCTGAGGTTCCCTCCACCATAAACACAGTGAAGCGCCCATCCCTTAAAACTGCTGCTTGCAAGAGCCGAGCCTCTCCTCCCCTGCGCGTCCCTGCAGCTGAGCGATGGGAATCAGCCACAAACCATTGCTGCGGGGCCGTCCTGAGCCCCAGGGCTCCCTGCACCCCGTGCTGACCAGGCTCTGCCTCTGCCATCACCATTCTGCTCCCCAGCAACAGCACCCACACCGCTGCTCCTCCCATAGGAGCCCAACAGTGAGGACCCGCAGCCTCGTCCCCCCCAGCCCCACGTGGATTGGGGGCCCTACACCCCTATGGGGCACCGCTCCCCCTCGGGGCTCACTGAGCACCTGGCTCTCAGTACCAACTTTTATTGCCGACATGCAGGAGGAGCTTCGATGCAATACAAAAATAACATCTTTATACAAATTTTTTTTTTCTTTCTCTTTTTTTTTCTCCTTTTCCTTACAATAGGAACCTTTCCCCACAGCCACGCACCGCTCCCCAGCGCCCCACTCGTGTCCTCCCCCCCCCCTCCCCCCATTCCAGTCCACTGTAGCACAGCTGTGATCCCCCGGCGATGGCACTCCGTGTCACAGGCCCCAGAGTATTGCTTTGACTTTGGGAAATGGAAGAGAAACAGGGAGGAGAGGGGGAGGCGGTGGGGCAGGGGACAGATCCGTCAGCTCAATAAATAAGGCGAAGACTTGAAGCTACTGGCTCAGCTGGGGGCTGCGGCGAGGGGAGCAACGCCTGCTGCTCCAGCCATGAGCAGGCAGCAGCCCCACGAGGGGCAAGAGAAGGCAATGCTACACCTGAGCTGCTGCTCACCCCACAGGAGCACACAGAGCTCGGATGGATGATGGGGGGCAGCTCGTTCACATTATAACCCACGTATGAGATCTGTACCACAACCGACGTGTGAAAAGGCTAGGTCAGAATTAATGCAACTT